CCTTATCAAACACTCCGTGGATGAAAAAATAAATGGCCAAAAAAAAAACCCTTTGCTAGCTGCTCACTGGCTGCCAGCAGGCAATCTTATTCTAAACCTTTGCATCTGTTTCTAGAACTAGACTTTGCCGAAACTCAGATAGTGTATACCTTGGCTTGAGTTTGGCTGTAGATACATGTTTTCTAAACATAGGTGGTAATATTGTAAGATGAAAGGAAAGTTAAGTTTTAATTCTTCTATTTATCCATAGCTCCGAACAGTTGGGTCAAGTGACCATCTTGACCCAAGTCCTATCTTATGGCAAGACAGTTTTGACTTGACTGTTCTATGTCTTCACTGTCAAGTGACTCTGATTACCTTCCCTTTTGCTATACTCAGCACATTTGCAGTTACTCATTTAAATTCAGACTTGCTGACTAGACAGTAAGCTCCATGAAGGCAGGAAAGATAGTTATACGCAGCACAGAGTAGGTATGCAATAAATATTTGTTGAATGAATGGGTGGTCATCTCCCCCAAGGATTGATACCAAGAGGGATCCTGGTGGACCTCCTCAGGAGTTAAGAATACTATCCTTAGCACCACCCCTTGGAGCCAGCCCAGTTCTCTCCTGACCAGGCTTATTGTCCAAAAGTATAGTGCAGGGAAATGGAGAAAGCTCAGCAGTCATTGGCCAATGGCCCCATATGATAGGGCTGCATCTCACTGACATGCTCATGCCTCTAGCAGACTCTACTTCAAATCTACTTTCCTAAGAACAGCTGAGAGGTATGAATTTTTGAGTATAGCCAGTTGGCTATGAAGTGGATAGATCCTCTCCTCTTTCCTGGAACCTGACTCCTGGAAGGGAGGAAAGTGCTAAGGAACTTCGCAGGATGCAAAGTTGGTTTCTGTTCCCTAGAAAGAGACCTAGTAGAGACAGGAAGGTCGTCCTGTATATGGATACATTTTTATTCCTTCTGACACTGATCAGCTCCTACCATATGCCTTACACTTGACAACTACTGAATTCAAGATGAATAAGACAGTCCCTGCACTGAAGGAACTTGTAGTCCAAGGGGCCTGGGGGGAGGAAAGAAGACAAGGTAGCAGGGCTACACCACGTGATGATCCCAGTGGCCTCGGTTTTAAGATTTCAGACAAGAGGGTAGTCGTTCCTGAGACAAATGATAAAAAATGACTCCCTGAAAAAAAAACATTTAATTTACGTGGCAAGAAAGAAAGAGCAGGTAGAGAAAGTAGAAGGATCAAAAGCACAGAAGCAGAAAAAGGCATGGCAGGTGCAAATCTGTCAAGTTGACTGCTGCAGGGGAGTCTAGGAACCCACATTCATTGAGCCTCCATGTGTGGACTACTGAGTGAGAACTCTGGCAGACCCCACTGCTTGTCTGGTCACTCTAAGGGTAATATAGACAATTCTCCAGCCACTTCAAAACCCAAAACACAGACTTATTTAGAAATCAAAATGCCCGTCCCTTCAAAACTTCCATCTTGCTTTAAAGTCAGGGCTGCTTCCCTTCCCCTCCCCCCACCACTCTTGGTCCTACTCCAGGTGAAAAGCCTGAAATCAGGGAAAGGGTAATCATTGACCTCTCTTTTCATCGCCCAGCTCTGCTCCTCTTCTTGCTGCCTTCTGGCCCTTTAAGGTCTTGAGCACAGGGGAGAAGAGATACGAGGAATAGGGAAGCTCTTGCTTGACCTGGACTGCTATGCTGATTACATTGGTATTCTCTAAATATGGCAAATACCTAAGGCTTACTATTTTTCACTGAGGGCACTTCTGTGGTTTCTTTGGAGATGTACCTTTCTCCCCAGACCCTCTGCTATGGCTGGAAATCCTTTGCCTTGACCAGGGCATATATCTCTCCATCCAGGTGGCCAGTTACTCCCTCTGCCCTTGGGCATCTCAAGATACCTGCTGTTTCTTTCTGCTGAATTCTAGTTACCCCTCCAAGCAGCCCTCTTGGGCCAGATCTAAAATGACCGACATGGGCTCCCATGTACATGGCTCGCTCTAGTCTGTGTGCGCCCCTGATGTATTTTTTGCCCCAGCAAACTCTGGGCTTGCAGGCCACGCAAAACTTCCACTTTACCTTTGTTCTACCATCAGAGCAGCTAACCATTCTAATTTATATTTTAGATTTTCTTTCTCAGGTGGGAGATAAACTCTAATCCATGATGCTCCCATCAAGTATTTGATGGGGTATCATTAAAACCATTCTCTCTTGAGTTGGGGTAAGGAGGGAACTTTCTTCACTGGAGGGTGAAGTGAGGTAGAACACTTCACCATGAAAAGCACCTACCAAAAACCCTCTCCTAATAGTCACCAACTTTTTTTATATCCAAAGTATATTGAGGGAGTAATGATTGTGTGCCCTATTTTTACCCACCCTCTCTTGAAAACCCTGCCTCATTGTGCTCTCAAACTTCCCTTTGAAATGCAGTACCTGTTGCCTCAATGCTTTGGCCCAAATTCCTTTTTAATGTTTTATTGCACAATATATTATCTCATTTAATTATCCATATAACCCTGTAAGATAGATAAAACTATCCCCATCTTAGAGAATAGAGAACTGAGCTTCAGATTTACCAAAATAGCAGGAACAAATTTTGAATCCAGATCTTTCAGACTCTAGAGCTTTCAGACCATCCCAGGGTGGAGGATCCATGTGGTGCAGCATAAATACTTGATAAATATCCATTGAATGGTGGGAAAGTTGATTTGCCTGGCTTATAAGGGAATGTGAACATGTTGATATTAATTGATAGGGAGCGAGAAACCACTGAAGAGTCACAGATGGCTGTGATAAACTGGCAACTGTGACAGGAATATACAAAAGAATTTAGAAGGGAGAAGGAATGGAGAGGAGAGGCACTTTTGGAGGCTATGGAGGGAGTACAAAGAGTAAGTTATAAAGGACATGGTGAATGTTACTCTAGAGGAATGAAGATAGAAGCCAGGTTGAAAGAATTTACAGAGAGAATGGGCGACAAAGAAATAGAAGCAGCAGCTACGGGCCAGTCATCCAAGGTATTAACACCTGAGTGGAGGCACGGAAATAGGCTGCAAGCCAGAGGAGCCAGCAGGATCAAATAAAGGATGTTTTTCCAGGATGAGCAGACAGAGGAGCCAGAAGGTAGAGAGAGTCTGAAGAGAAAGAAAAAGCTGTTATTGAGAGAGCAAGGACTAGGAGGAGGTGAAAAGAGGAAGGGTTAACATAGGAGAAGGTGAAAGGTACATCTTCCTCTAGGACAGGAAAGGAATAGAGAAGATGGATAAATAGATACATATGCTGTGGGGAAAAAAGAGGTTGGAGGAGATTGCATCTGATATATCAAAACTTTATCAGTAAAGAAGGATCCAAAATAATGGCTTGAGCACTGGGAAGTGACAGCATAAGTGTTTGAGGAAGAGTTTGAGACACCTTTGTGCTATGTGTGTTAAGAAATCAACTGTGGAAGTCAACAGTGGATGAATAAGTACCAACCATCCAGGGCATTGAGGTTCAACAGTCTGATTTCAGGAAGGTCCGAGTCAGCAATATTTGACCAGGGAGCAAAAGAAGAAAAAGCATATGGCAAGCGTCATCCCAAGCTGAGTGCTGCAGGGCAATGAGCTGAGGGCTGGGAGGGCTTAGTTAGCAGGAGTAGGATTAAAATTTCCACTCTTGGCATCCAGACCGAATGAGAAAGCCAAGTGGGGCCAATAAAAAATTTAACAGATTTGTGAAGTTATCCTGGAACGTGCAACAGAGACAAGTATTTGCTATACTGGATCTGGGGAAATGGGAAGAGTATAAGTGAACAGGTTATGGTTATAGAGACCAGGCTTGCCAGGCTCAGGCTCTCAGAAGTGGAACAGCACATGGGCACCCCAGTGCCAGGGCAGCCTTGTTAGTGAAGGGTTGGTATGCAACAGCGTGGGAAGTCTTCTGCTTCAGTGCCTCATGGCATATAACCTCTTTGGTCAAATTGTGAGGTAACCATGAGCTCAGAGACTGGAAGAAAAGCAGTGGTGATCTACAGAGAAGCATGTCTTCCAGCAATGAGAATCAGAGTAAAAGAGTCATCATAGCTGATGAAAACTCCAGCTTGCCATAGGACATATTCTCCTTCTTTTCTGTAATAGACATTTTTATTACAGGATCTGAACAGGATTATTGAGGGCAATGATAAGCTGTAGTTGTCCTAAATTTTAAATGTTGTTTATAGATTGTTTCTACCAAACATACAAACTCTATTATTTTAAACACAAAGACCAGACACCTTGTTTATAGTACATACTGCTTCTGGGCATAACTCTACTTAAACTTTCTGAGATATATTAGTTACAGTTACCTTTCAAATGTCAGGGTACAATGCCAAGGAAACCTTTAATAGAGACACAATGAAACCATATAATTGTACCTTGCTTTTGGCAAAGTGTGCCCCTCATTCTGAAAGAAAACCATGTTAAAAAATCTTGATATGTATACTTTTGTCTCATCTTTGTCCACGAATGGCCACAGGTATCAAGTCATAAGTTAGCTAACATATGACATGGTACCAGTCAAATAAGATTATTACAATGTTTGAGGAAGAAATAAAAACCTATGATAGCTAAATCACTAAAAGAAACTGAATCACAAAATCACTTGCCCAAGGTCACGAAGTGAATTGGGACCACAGACAAGAATCTCTGGATCCTCTTTAGGAAGTTCATGTAATACCTCACTGGTGTTGATACCCCCTCAGAGGCAGAATCTTGTGAAATTTAGGATGATGACATCGACCTGAACAAAGTTCCACAATTGCTCGTTAGTTTCCCCTCCCAGCTCCTCGAACCTTAATGAAAACCACTTTGGGAGTCAGTGAGTGAGATCAGGCTGTGGGTGACTAGCTCTCCTCACAGGGGAGACTTCGACTGAGTTCCAGAAAAATCCTTGAGAATTCCAGGAGGGCGATCTATTGATTGCTCTCAACGTTAACGCCTTGTCCTTCTCACTCTTCTCTCCCTTGCAGCTCCGAATGTCCTGGCTCATCCGTGGAGTCTTGCAGGGAAACGTCTCCTTGGTGCTGGTGGAGAACAAAACCGGGAAGGAACAGAGCAGAATCATCTGGCATGTGGCTACCATCGAAGGCTTGAGCCTGTGGCAGTGGACGGTGCTGCCGCTCCTGGATGTGGCCGACAGGTGGGCCTCTCCCCGTCCTGGTCAGTCCCTTTTCCCCTATCAGCCAAAATGCAAAGGGAGGCTGTGTCTTCCTTCCCCCATCCCTTCTACCCAGGACGCACATCCAGATGTGCACACACACATGCACAAACACAAATGTGGACACATACCCACACTTTCTGCAGACTTACAGGAAGCACTGAGTTTCTCTGAGGGATTTCCATCCTTATGGGCACTCATCTCTCACCCCTCTGGCCTGGCCTGGCCTGGCTGCCTCCAGTATCCATAGGAAAAAGTAAAATTGAGCAATTCATTTGACTCCTAAATATAATCAGGCTTTATATGTATGTGGCATTTTCTCTTAGTTAATGCATTTTTGTCTTACTTTCCCGTTTGACATTCTATTTATTCCTTATTAACAGCAACAAAACCTGTGACCTAGGTAGGCTAGGCCTTATGTTTCCCATTCCTGCTCTTTTACAAGGTTCTCATTCACTGAGAACCAAAGAGGTGAAGCATCAGCAAGTTGACATTGGAGCGAGGCTGGTGCTCAGGCCAGTCCAAGCCCAGTGCTCTGTGGAGTCTGGTGCCTGAAACAGGTGGATGGGAAATTCTTCAGTAAACAGAAGAGTGCTTCTACCAGAGGCTGTGGTTGCTGTTTAGATTCCAAGACTAATGACCTTCGTGACCTTGAATATCTCTGGGCCTCAGTTTCCTAGTCTTTAAACTGAAAAGGTTGGACTAGAAGATGGTTAACTCTGTGTGGCTCTGAAATGGAGCAGGAACTGCTCTGGTCAGCTGCCACTTGTCTCCCCAGGACGGCACCAGTCTGCCACTACAGTCAGCCTGGAGCAGGCAGTGCCTGACCAGCAGCAGCTCCCGTGATGCTCTGCCATGTCTTGGGTATGACTGAAACCTCGAAGGTTGGTGCTGGTCTGTTCCAGACCAAAGAAGGGGGCAGGGATCATTTCTTTAAATGGGACAGATTAATGAATCTGGAAGGGAAAAGCCATCTTTAATAGGCTAAATATCAAACCCTACAATCCAGAGCAGCCTCTGTATTTGACTCTCAAAACACATTCAAATTGCCACCCTAGTGGATCCTTTGAAAAATAAGAGCAAAGCAGAGAGTGATGCCAGTTGGCACGAAGCTTTGTAAATGTAAAGCTGGGTCTCAGATTCTTCACCTAGACTTCAGAGTGTGCTATTTCCAAGAGCTCATAACTTGAGCTGTGCTGTCGTAGGAAGAAGCCATTGTCCTCTGAGCACCAGCTTCCCACTCCTTCAGATGTGTGTGGGTTAAAGATCAAAGCACTTGGACATCCCAAGGCGCACTGCTGTCCCCAGAATAAATGGATTTAATTAAAGTGGAGGAAGGAGCATTGTGGACACTCTCACCATAGACTGGTCTTTTGTCCTTCGGGATTGTGAGGGCTTTGTGCAGGGATGGAGAACAGGAGGGGATGCCAGAACCCTCCCTCCCTCCCCAGAGAAGCTAAATTAATTCAGATGAATCAAAAGGATTTTTTTCTCCTCAATCCAGCAAGTCCTCTCTCTTTCATAGCCACTCCAGGGGATTTAAAGCAAGTAAGATGTTGATTCTGCTCACTCTCATCTGCTAGAGTTTTGTTTGAAGGAGACTTTGTTCTCAGCCTCCCTTCTTCTTGCTAAAGACTGTTTACCAGACTGACGTTTCCAGTATTGATACTGAGAACAAACTGTCCAGTGGGGATTCAGACAAAGGCCAGCTTGGCTGGATGATGCCTCGTAACCTATTAAGTGTGCAACTACATGAGTGGCCCCATTCACTGGGAGCCTGCACACCATTGCTGTGCTCTGATATAGGATGCTCCCCCCTCCCAGAGCTAGAGATGATATAGGAGGCACCAAGATCCAGAGGCAAATGGAACTGCAGGTGAATGAGGCACAGCAGTTCTCACTTGGTAAGACCCATCCAGACTGTCGATGTGACTGGCCTGTAAAACTAGAGAACTGTGGATAACAGAGCATTGGCTTAGAGTCAAAGAGTCCCAAGTTTAAAAGCCTGCTCAGCCACTTACTAGTTATGTGACCTCAGCCAATTACTGAGCCTCTCGGGGCCTCAGCACCCACATCTGCAAAATGAGTATAATATCAGTACAACTCCACAGGAGTGCTATGAGACCAAATAAAATGACTGTCAGAAGCATCTATATATAATACATATCAAGGAGTTTTATTTCCCATGTCCTTCTCCATCATCATCCCTTAGTTGTATAGCCTCAGATAATTTATTGAATAAATAGCACAAATCACATCCACTGAGCTTCCAAGTCAAGCCACATTCTATTAAACAGAAATAATAAAGTCTACCTCTTCAGCTTGGGGAACTAAAGTGTTTGATGAACTACCTGGCTCATAGTAAATGCTTTGTCAGTAATAACTACTACTAATAATTGTAATATACTAATAATGATATATCCCAGACTAATGCCTCAGAAGAGGCTGAGATGGCCAATTTAGCAATAATAACCATTCATACACCCTAAGATAGGGGTGAGAGTTTTTATGAATTTGCGATCATCAATGCTCTGTCCACTCCTTATAAAGGGAAGCACACGCTTCCCTCTACCTTTCAGAGAGAGTGAGGTATAGCTGCCTAGATTGCCAGAAAATGAAAATGGGTGGATGGAGAAGGTAGAGGAAACAAATAAATAAGGAAAGGAGAAAAAATGGATAAAAAAAGACCAGCTCCCTTCCTCCTGACCCTCAGATAGGCATTAGCACGTTGTACAAACTGCCCACATCCCATGAAGTGTCCTTATTAGGCACGTCCTGTTTTCAGCTATTCAGCACCTGCCTCTTGGACAGCTCCCAGCCAGGGTCCTTGAAAGGGCAGGAACGTCATTCCCTGTGCATCCCAAATCACCTCTGCTCCCAGGTTCCCCGGCCTCCACACTACAGAGTTTTTAAAAGCAACTTTATTAGGGCTTATAGATTAACCCTAAAGAACTCCACTGCTTTGACACCGGTCATAACCCCGGGGCATTACATGAAACTAGCCTCTGCCTAGAAATGGCGGTGACCTCCTGTCTTGTCTTCTTGTCTCCATTTTTTATCCCCACCCAATCCAGTCTACACAGGGAGGCTGGAACAAATTTTTTGAAATGTATATCTAATCATATCCCATTTAAAAAATCCATCCATGGTTTCCATGGTTTTTAGAGTGCCTTTTAATCTCCTTTAAAAAGACCTTCATTTAGACCCACATGTGATCTTCCGATTATAACCTCACCAGCCCCTTTTTATACATTCTTCTGTTACTCTACCTGGTAACCTCACTGAACTTTCAACTCAATTTCACTGTGCTAAGTTCTTAAATCCAGGCTTTTGCACCTGACATTCTCTCTACCTGCATGTTCTTCCTCTAACTTCCATCTCCCTGACCACTCTTCCTTAATTTTTTAAAGAAGCCTCCTCAGACCCCCAGACTGTATAGTATACCTACAATATATCATATGACTCTTGAAACACCCCTATAATAACTTACCACTCTTTGCTATCTGTTTTTTAAAAATCTGAATATACACATCAACAAGGCATGGATCAGGTCTGTCTTATGTATCAGTTTCCTGATTACCTAGTAACATTCCTAACACATTGTATGCCCAATAAATGCATGTTGACAGAATGAGGCATTAAGGGAAACTGCATATATTTTCAAATTCCAGCTGAATTAACTGAGAATTTCACTTGTTGGAATTCATCTAACATTCCTTCTCTTCAGCCTGCATCTAAAAAACAGATAAAAACATTATAAGAAATACTACTACAAAGTGTTCTGTATATCAAAGCAATACCTGTGTCCCATCAGATAAACCCAAACAGCATTTGTTACTCTTATGACAAGGAATTCTCTTTAGAGATTTCACTGGTACCTGTGCTTTCTTTGTCTCTGGGCACTGTCCTGTCAGAATCACTTTGTAAGAAAGACTTTGATCTTAATTGTGTGCCCTGGTCCATGTGAGTAGGAAGAGCCAGAACTGGGCACTTGAGAGTAAAGAGCTATATTCAGATTGCTCCCACCACACAGTAGTCCTTCTGCAAAGACTCAGAGACTATACCATAGGTGTGCAAAAGCTGCTGACAGGGAGGCATTGATCCATGGAAGGATATTTCTTCTGTCCATTTACAGCAGGCAAAGTGATAGAAATAATGCCATAGTCTGTCATCATTATGAAATGATATTAAATTTACAACCATACTAGAAATAGCAAGAAAACTCTCCAAGAGCAGTGCCCAAGACGTTTTGAGCAGTGACAACATCCTTGGAATACAAATATGTGCCCTCAAGGTAATTTTGAAGGACAGCACCAGTTCAAATAATGGTTTGATGTGTGCTTAAAAGTTATGTCATTCCTTTACATCTACCTCATATAACTAGTTTTCTCTGGTCTCTCCCCATATCATCAGCTCCCCCACCCCCACCACTCAATTGCCACTCTTTCTGCGGGAATTAATTCTACCTTTTCTCAAAATGGAAGAAAGGCAAGTTCTTTCCTCTTACTCTCTCAGTCTCTTGCAGGGGCATACCCCTAGTTTTCCTCTTTATAATTGTATATCCTAATAAATTAAACATAATGCTCCCACACCATCCTAAGCTTTAACATGCTTACAGAGCAGAAGTGGGTGGTAAGTTCAACTCATTACAAGGTAGATTTGGAAACACCCTGGATCAGATCATGCCTCACAAATCACTGCAGTCATATAGCCAAGTAGGAAGTACGTAACTTGTCACGTGTGTAGGATCCATCCCTGAGCCTAACTAATCATTATATATACATATACACAGTCTAACAAGAAACAGTGTTCCCTCTGGAGATATTTACATTTCTGTTCCCTTTGCATCCTTGGTCCTAATGACAAGTAGTGTGTTTCGCAAATGCATCTTTCAAATGGGATCAGTTAGACTGAGAGTTATGGTTTCATGTGCTTCGACCAGAAACTCCACAGAGCCAAGATTTCTCCCTCTTCCATTCTTG